AAGGGACAAAATAATCATGACTGAAATGTTGAATTTCAAATTATCCAAAATGCCACGTAACTGATGTAATTTTTTTAAGCAAATGGAATATGGGAATGAATACAGAATGCTATGTTTGTTATTTAATAATTAATAATAATATAAATAAACTGTAGATAAACGCATCTGTCCTGTGAGAACCTCACAGGTCGCCAGATAAGTTTTATAAAAAAAGTAATGCAGAATTTCTGAATGTAGACCAAGTTATTTTTAAGTGATCCAGAAAGTAGTAAGTTGTCCAAATCTAGTAGTGTAGTGCTTTACAAATATCTCAATCTACTACTTGTAGCCCAATCTTGCAATTCTGAAACCAAGCCAAACTTTTGTGATAAGAGAAAAAAAGGGTAGTCTATGGGTAAGGAGACATCTGAAAATGTATTACTGTAAAAGCAAAGCCATGTTCACCAGATTAGAGTTGTTGTTGGTCTATCGTTCTCTTATAATATGGAAGCACTTTGATCTAAACAAACAAGTTAACATATGCACATCACTATTTGTTCAGAATTTTCATATTGAATTTCAAAGTAGCCATATTTTGAACTAAACCAATTCCTTAGCATGTTAATCCCTGTATCCCCAGTTGGGACAAATAGTACGGTTATGAACTAACGGGATTTCAAATTATCCAAGATTGAATTAATAAGGATTTCCTGTAAAAGTTTTAGTTTAATCAGGTAGTTTGTATCCAATTAAACACCAATAAAAATAGCAGCTAGTTCCACTTGGTACAGATAGGAAATCATTATTTGAGAATATAAGTAGTAGTAGCATTGCCATAGATATAGGTACTGGATCCAATACCTAAAGATGACTGATTCTGAAGTCTGTTGGAATAAAAAAAAAAGTGATAAGAGGGATGTACTTTCTTAGAAGACTGAAGGGCAGTGATGAGTATCTTTCTTTCCTAGGATACAAGTTTAGACCTGTTTTCCAAAGGAGCTGTTCATGAAAAGATAGAATATTACCATAGTATTGCAAGAGGCCAAGATAATGTATCAATGAGAACTTCAAAGCATCATTTTAAACTATTTTATAAAATCTGGTTAATTTAATAAGGAACTTACTTTGGTACTTGCAGAATTTTTTTTGCCAAAGCTTTGTATAAGATTTGGCAAAAATTTTCAAGTCCTAGTTTTGAGGCAGCATAAAACACTACAGGTTGAATTGCTTGCTCCTTTTAGAATCTAAGAGGTACATGAAAGCTAATGCCTCGTGTACACTTGGCATGTTTAGAAAGTTGTCTTTTAATTTGTTTTGCTTTGGCTATAACATGTTCATGTATGTGCATTGAAGTTTAATTTCTGGTCCAGAAAAACATAAGATACTTGTGTAATTTCTTCCACTGTATGTCACTATTATTTAGTTTCATAGAATGACAGTGATATTTGTATTTTGTTTACTGCAAAATATCTTTAGTTTTGGCTGCATTGAAGGTCAGCTTATACTTTCCAATCAGCAATACTGTATGATAGCTTAGCATTTTTATAACTGCTGATGATTTGATCATAGAAGGCCTGTATAATTATATCTGAGTCAATTGACAACAATAAAGCAAAAGCAGCAATTTATAATAATAATTCACAAGAAGGGGAAAACACCCCATCTTGTGAGCAGTAGTTTCAGTTATTTTTCCATTTCAGCATTTTATGAATTAATCCTAACTTTCCTAAGAGTCCTAAGAACTATTTTTAACAAATAGATTGGACAGATCAGCTTTATCAGCTCATTTAGAATGTCATGATACATTGTCAAATACATGTTGTATATTGAAAAATACTACAGCAGTGAATTTGAGGCGATTTAAGTCCTTTGTTTATTTTTTGTGTTAACTGAAATGACTGTGTACTTGAATATATTTTAAAAACTGGATAATTGTTAATATACCACTCACCAAATTAACAATTACCTGTTCATAACAAAACAAAAATTCTTACTATGAATGTTTTTGTCTATGTGAAATAGATGTCTTTAGGTATTAACAATATCAAACAAACAACTTATAAAATAGAATGTTTTTTAAAAGTTTGGATTAATTATGTAATTTGAATACGTGTTAAAATTTAAACATACATAAAATATTTGAAGCCTATCTGAATAAATAATCAATTAATTTCACGTAAATTATGACGTAAATATCTTTCGTAATTTAAATTGTCTTTAATATGAGTTTCTATCGTTGGAATCTAGTTCAAAAATGGCGCGCCATGCTGTGGAAAGTGTGTCCATTTCCTTGAAGTTAATAGTGACTCCCTGTTTAATTGCCCGATAGATCTCAAGCAATTTGAGGTACTTGAGTTGTGCCTTCCCTGATATTCTGTGTAACAATTTAGCGTTATGCAGTTCAACCTGAACTTCCTCATTACTTGCATATGTTGCTAATGCCGTAGTAGTCAGCTTTTTTCTTATGGAGTATTCATGTTCTCTCATCCTCATGGTGAGACCTCTGGCTGTTGCTCCAATGTATGTTAATGAGTGGTTAACTTGGTCATCATGAAGAGGTATCACATAAACTCGTGGAGAGTAGTTGTGTTGCAAGGGCCTTGATCCATGACAATTTCTTTTCCTTTTCATTTTGCTCCTGTGTGTGTGTGTGTGTGTGTGTGTGTGTGTGTGTGTGTGTGTGTACCCTTGTGATAGATCAAGTGTGATAGATCTAACACATCGTGGAGATACTTATAAGAGCCCTTCACCTTTGCCAGAAGAAAATCTCTCAGCTCTCAGAAACAGGGTTCCAGTTTTATAGATGGGAACAATGTTTGATAGTCACATACCGTGAAATATGCCATCATTGGCTTGCTAAGATCTCGTAATTTTTGAAGTACTTGTTCTGGATTAGTGATAGTGTACATATGATCCTCTAGATTGCTAGTGATGTATTTGTTAAGAATTCTCTCCATTTTAATAGTGGGAGTAGTAGTTTTATTCACTACTGCACATAAAAGACAAATAATTTAACTTCTTTGTGTGAGTGATATATTGATACATAACTCAAAAGTATTTGCAAGTTAAAGGAGATTATTTTAAATATCTATTAAAATTAAACAAATTTTGATTCATTCTGTATAAAAATATATATTAGACATTTTAAGAATATAGTTAATTTATCTTTTACTAATTATTGTTGTAGTAAACTTTAATTCATTAGTATTATTGTGTTTTATGAATACAAATATGTTGTGAAAAATTTTCATTTCCTATATAGATATTTCACTAATCTTTCACTCAAAATAATCTTGAAATCTGTTGTTATAAATATATTAAATCAAAATTTTATATTCATTTACATTGAAATTTTTAAGAAAAAAAGAATGCATTTGGTACATTAATTTTATTTGAAGATTGTTTTATGTATAATTATTCTATGCTGATTATTCACTTTTATAGCACATTAATGTTTATTAATTGACATGCATTATTACAACAGTTCTGGATTATACACCATTTAATTATTTTAAATAAGAAAATTTGCAAAGATTTTCTTATATGAAGATTTTTCTAAGTGATGTAATGTAATATATAGTATTTAAAAAATTTACCTAGGGAAAAAAAGAGAGAACTTTAGTACCATGTTTTTTCACTTCTAATGCACATTTTTCTTTGGGAGTTTTCTGATCTCAAAAATTGGGATGAACATTAGAATAAGGCACCAAGTCAACTTAATGCAGCCTCTCACATTGTTTTCTCTTTGGTTGACAATTTGTGTGTATATGACATTGGTATAGACATATAATACATCCTTTCCATTACTATGGTTTTAATTTTGGTTTTGATTCTGGAACAGTTTGAATTACTGAAACATTTGAATTTCTGAACTTATGAATTACAGCAAGCCAAGTGAATGATGTCCAACAAATGAATCTTCTATAAAGCTGTTTAACAATGAGTTATCTATATTATCCACTATGCTAAAGAATATATATAGTATCATACTGGAATATATGTATACATCTTTCATGTTTGTGCATACCAACATGAAATAATGAAATAACACTAACTTAAATTTAAAAATCTTATGTGAATACTGGAATGCATATAAATTAATTACTCATAAACCTTAAAAGTCCAGTAGTAAATATTTAATAGCAAACAAATGCTTTCAACCATACTTTTGAAAGTGTTTGTTTGCTATTAAATATTTACTACTGGACTTTTAAGAAATAACACTAATAAAACATTTATTATACAGTAATTTTGACTGTGATTTTTTTTGTATTGGTTCTCAGACTCTCTGTACTTAATAGTCATAAATGAATACATTCAGAAATGTAGACATAGTGAAGCACTGAAAACATGAAAATAAAATGCTTATCTAAAGGCTGTTTAAATGCATTACTTTTTGTGGGTGTATATTAAATTCACAACTATTTTTTGCTTTTACAACGTTGATTTTTTTCTGTTTTGACATCTCAAAAATTGAGTGTGCATTAGTTTTGATTGTACATTAGAATTGAGAAAACTTGGTAGTTTTACATTCAAGAAATTTTTCTACATGATAAATTCTGTATAACACCTTTACTGTTTAATAATAAATTTAATTTTTTTTTTTCTTTCAGTTAAAATGTAATAACCCAAATATGCAAATATGAGATTGAACGATTCAATTAATTTCTCCAAAACAGTGTTGTACCTGGCATTATTTTGGATTATATTTCAATACACTATTTCTTTTAGCTAGAAATATTTGTATTAAAATGTTTTTGTATTTTTTGTTTAAATATGCTGTTAATCAGTTATTAAAGAAATAATTATAAATTGAAAAAGAAAACCTTGAAAACATTTAACAAATTGCTAATAAAATATTTTAAAAAATAAATCTATAAAAGACAGTTACTTAATATCATTATTATATAATATTAATATTGATAATGTATTTACAAATAATGTATAACAAAACTTTTGCAAAACATATTTTAAATAAAAAATAAAACTTTGTATAAAAATGTAAATTTTTAATATTATAGATAATATTTCATGGTGATGCATTAGAAGTGATGAAGAAGAAGGAGAGAGTGATTTACATGAGCAACCATCAAAGTACTAGTAGGTTTAGTTATGTTTTTATTTCAAGTATTAGTTAAGTGAACAATTTAATCAACTAATGAGGCAAATGTTTTTGAAACTTATTTATTATGAAAGCATTTTGAATTCACAGATTTAAAAAATAATAATAATAACTGTGAATTCAATAACTTCTTAAAAGGTTTCAGTTTTTATATACAAGGATATTTTGTAATATAAACAGCAATTGAAAAGAATATTTCTTGAAAATACAGAATGTAATAGAATACTTTATTGGAAACTTATGCTAATTTCTAATGTTTTTTTTTTTTTAGCTGTGGATTAATGTATCTATTACATAGTTTCCCTACTTTTGGTAGCCGTAACATTTTGCATTGTTTTGGAACATTTTATATATTTCTTGAAATGTATAAAATGTTCCAAAATGTTGAAATTTATAATTCTTTGAAAGCAGTAATAACTAATAATAGATGTATAAATGAAATAATTGTTAAAATATTTTAGTAAAACTTAGTAAATGGTATGAAAAAGAAAACAGTGTAATTTAAAATAATGCAGAGTTAATAAATAATAATAAACCTTTTTAAAAAAGTAGAGCATAACTTCAATTTTTCAGAACTTTTACCTCTTAAAATGTAAAATATTTTTTTGAAATTTTGGTATTTTCTAATAATGTATATACAGTAATTATCATTTTTCTAAGCTGCATCATTTTAGTTTTTTTTTATGAGTTTGTTTTCATTCAAATCTTTTATTTCTGTCAGTAAATTAGTGAGGCTAATGTAGCTTTGTATATATTTTATTGAGAAAGTCTGTATTTGCAGCAAATTTACATTTGCTTAGGCAATATATTGTTTGTTGTATTTATTTATAGGCAATGTCTGAATATACTTTTAACTTCATACTTCATCAGGCAAACCTAAACCTGCCAAATGCATATGAAACAAACCAGAAATAACTGAATAAACACATAATTTACAGATTAGACCTTGTTAAAAGTGAGTTGCTCTTATACATTTTATAGTTTGTGAGAAGAAGAATCATATGACAGATTAGAAATTCCAATATTATCTAGATAATCAAAATTTTTAATAAGTCTTTTTACATTTATCACTTATGAAAATTGTTAATATTTACAGAGTATGAATGAGCCATTGATTTTGAAAGTGGGGCAAGTCCATTTTTTGAAAAAAAAAAAAATAGTTAAGGCTGATTCTTATTACAAATTAACATAAAATTTATTTTTTTAATCAATTTACAATAAATATCTTTTTAATATCAGTATAAATTTGTCACTAGTAATTTATACCATCAATGATATTTATTGTGTTGATTTTGAAAGTGGGACAAGTCCACTCTAAATAATGACAGTGTGGGAGCATTGTCATTTAATACAAAAAATGTCCAAACATAATGCATTTTTTAGTACATGAAATTAAAAGTAAAGACTTTTATTCAACCAAACCTCTGGAGGTGACAGTTTTGAAAAGAACAAAAAATACCAATGGAGAAACTGTCATTTGGTTGAATATTTTCTGGATTAGATTTTCAAGAAATGCACTGTATAAATTGTTTTGTAAAACATCAATGAAAAAGTTTTGTAATTTAAAACTCTTGATTTATCACCAAAACAGGATAGGCCAAGTAATTTCAGAAAAATAGTATTATCTTTAAACTAGACCTATCACTAAATAAAAATATGATATGGATTTATTACCCTGTGTACTGCCCATTCATCATGAATACTTTAAAAATCTACACCATCTAAGCTAAGAAATATAATTATCAATATATGCATGAAACTTATTACCAAATATTTTTTCTTATTTTCTCTACTTTCCTATAAAATTAAATTTATTATTGTTTTATTGTAGCTTTTCGAAATAAGTATGAAATGTTGAAATAAAATAAATAAGTAAATAAATAGAATATTCAATTTTTTTGTTATAATTATAATCCATTTATAGAAAACCAACGTTTTCAACAAATTATTGCTTTTGAAAGTGAGGCAAGTCCATTCGCACATGCCAAAACCACGGCCGGATTATCGCATAGACAAATGAGACAAATGTGTAGGGCCCGATCAAACTGTCTATTTTTAAAAGATTTGTAAATAAGATAGTTTACTTTTCTGTTGGACAACTGTATATAATAAACAAATAAACAAAAATATATTGCATTTTATATTATTGTTGTGAATTCTAGAATCTAAAGAAAATGTGTTCTTATGTTTCTTCTTATTGAAACTAAAACTCCCAATAATATAGAATTTTTTTTTTATAATGATGATAATAATATTAACTACAGTATATGTATTCTTAACATCCTGTGAAATATTGTTAACTAATTTTTCTTTTATTTTTTATTAAGCAGCTGCAGTGTCCATATGCGATTTAATAGAAATAATATTAATTATTAATTGATTTATTAATAATAATTATTAATTGAAAGACTCGGGATGGGGCCCGTTAAGAAGAAAATGTCTAGGGCCCCAAAGTAAGTTAATCTGGCCCTGACCAAAACCATGATTTTTTCCACCTAACATGGATAACCATTATTGCATATTAAATTTAAATGCAATAAGACCAGAAAAAATATAAAATAAGTCTAT